CCGATATATGTTGATGGTGTGACACATTTTGTTATATGAGAAGAGGGTTCAACAAGAAATGTATAGCACTGTTTTGCGTTTTATATTCAATACATTTAAAGAACTGAAACATATTACGTAAAAAAACATATATCACATCCACCAATGGGAGCCCTTTCGAACCCCGTTGAATTTGAGGTACGTCCACCCAGGGTCACAGTTATCAACACTAGGTGAGACGTTGAATTGGGACCACCAACTCAAAAAACCACACAGTTTCGGATAATTTATTAGTCTTGCCAGTTCCTTCCTATTGTTATTGTAACGTTAATTTTTCTAATTCTTCCTCCGCTTTTTTTTTTAAACGACTTTTTTTCAAAAATGGCTGCACCATTTGGATTGAAATTTGATATATACATTCTACTCCACAGAATGTGATCTACCCACTCAATGGCCATACCTACACTCCCCGTGCTCTTGATGGTAGCTAGCACCCAGAATGCCGTATATTTAGTCAGAATAGTAGTACTAATTCGATTAATATTTTTCTATGTCTTTTATATATACAGGTTTCTGACCTTTTCGCTGGACTTGGAGGTATCGGAATAATTGTTGCGGGAGCTCTATCTATTTTAGCCGTGCTGCGTCGTTGAACAACGACAGCGATGACAATGACGAATTAGTGACATAAGATTGCTTTACATTGTATTGACAAATAAACAACTTAATTGAGTCTTCTGAATATGTATTAAATAAATTTGGATGGAAACATTCCGATATGCAATATGTTTTTCATTGCCTATGTATATTCATTTATGGAAATGAGACATTTTTTTCAAACAATCGTATTATGCACCTCCTCCTTGATTGTATTCATAAACTTCAAACGTTCCAAGTATCGAAAACAAAACTACCGACACTCCGTGCGCCTTATGCGTCAGATCTGTGTAGAAAGGGCAACTTCCTCGTGCCAGATCCCCTGCCAGAAAACAAGACAAACAAAAATGTTAGGAAATCCATTTGAGTGAAATCAGTGTTTAATGTGTCCCAGCTTCATATAAGTAAGCAATGAGAACGATGTTTTTCTCCAGATTTTGTGCATCATGCGCGTCACTTCACTCCAGTAACACGACCTCTCGCAACGTGGACCCAGATAAAATTGTCGGAATTTACATTTATACAGAATAGAAGAAATTGTTAAATAGTTCGGTTGTGACAAACATTTTGTACGTTTTTTTATAAAATAACCGTGCGTAATGAGGTGAATGAAAACAAAATTGGTTTCCTGTGCCAGCATGAAGCGTGAATGCATATTTTAATGGAAATAATTAGAACCACGCTCATTCAATTTACAGTTTATCGACATGGATAATCGGTATGTAAAATATTTGAGTACATACTTAATCGTGGAATGAATACATGTATTATCCAAAATATCGAAGAATTACAGGGATGTAGATAACTGGGTTACTGTGACGTCATTAACCCCCCGCATCATATCAGCTTCGCTGATTCCCGGCGTCCCCTAAGAATGACAAGGACACAGGTTAATAGTAATCAACATGTTGTTCCACTTGGTCATTACGCTGCTGTCTGACTTCACCTCAGGCGACATTCGCGTCGTTTATGGTATTGGACTGAAAAAAAAAACTTGTTCACAGTCATGATGCATATATGAGCAATAACAATGCAAGAAAGTATTAGTCTTTGTCATTAGTGTGTTGTATATTTCCCTTATGGAATTAGGAAAGACATACTGGGGCACATCCTGCGGTCTCTTGTGTGTAGAACCCGCTCACACTCTGTTTGGAAGTTGTCGTTTATTACCCGGTATACAGCCCAAAGCTTATATAATTTCCCCAGTCAGTATCCGGAGTCATACCATAGAGGGCAGCCTTCGCACAGTACAGTCGGAATGGAATACGTTCGCTTAACTGGCTTGACATGAACAGTGTTCATGCAATTTGAATGTCCGTTTACAATGTCGAATAAATCTGTCCAAGGCTAAGGGAACTTTAAAACTCCTAAGGTGAATATTTATTGAAAGGGTGGTGATTGTCGCGCAATGCGTTTTCGAATTTCATGTAAACAAGTATACGTCGCTAGGACATCATGAAATATTGTTTTGTGACATAGAATGAAAAACAACATTAAGATGCGATATTCTGCCATATGCAAGTCAAATCTTTCTTCCAGTATGCATAATAATTATGTTCAGAGGATGTACATTTCATGTTCATAGGTTTCATGTTAACGGTGTTCGAATAACATGGTATGCTCATCTTCAACAGAACACAAGGAAAATAAAATGAACATAATATAATCTTATTTGGCCACTATGGAAATTCAGGACGAGATTATGTAATAATTTTTGAGAGCATTTATGTAGCTTTAATTGGGTTTGGGACGTTTATTAGACATGTTTTACAAAATGAATATGCGCGAACTGTGCGGCCATCGACGGACAAGTTCGAATGTTTTACAGAAAGTATGAACGCTGGCGGTCATTTCGAATTTCCATTAAAAATAGTCATCAAATGAGTTTTAATGCCGTACTATTAAATATTTCACATAAAAGTCTCAAGAACCCAATATAGCTATATTAATACTCTGCAGCTTTAGTCATACGGATTAATCATACTAATTTAAAGACAATAAAACAAAACAGTACAAATCTACCAGATTTTATTATCCTAGTTTAATACACAGAGCAATCAGTGATGTATTTCAGCAATGCACAAATACACACACGCTGACTCAAAATAAAAAAAAATAGGTAAAACAAACTCCCTGAATGTTAAAATTTCCATTATAGTAGTTACATGGTAATTTACAGATTTTACTTTATCAAAATCGAGGTTTTGAAAACAAATATGAATAAAATGTGAATTTATATGCCAATTTCAATATTCACTTCCTAAAGTCCAAATTTAATAATCTACTCTGATCACCGAGGTTCTCCATAGAACATTGTATAATTATAAAACTAAAAATGATGGTTTCGCCATCAAAATGTGTTTAATGTGCATATAGATGATATTTAAAGTTGAACTTCAGTGGAGATTGATTCACAACTTTCATAAAAGTCACTTTCACGTTCTGCCTCAAGACTATTTATGTTGCCTGCGTTGCTAAGCACGTTGTGGAATCGCATTAAAAAATAACCCAGCCTATTACAACCCATTCCAAGAACAGTAAACCCGATGTTATATTATACCAGAATTGCTGTGAAACTGCGTTAATTATGCGCCACTTCTTCCACTACCTTCATTGGAGCTTAATTATTAACACAGCTAAACTCAATCACAGACCTTTTTCTAGACGGTAATCGCATTATTTATTCTGGTTCATTTATCTTAATAAACTTGAATGTGATAAACCGACACACCATAAACGTTATTTCCCCATTAACAGGCATATAGATGCTGTTGTGTCTGTACATGTAGTTATGTTAATGATGATAATTATAATGGATGATACATGAACTCGAAACAGTTTAAATTTTCAAAAATAAATGTCGGCATTACAAACACAGGTTACAACTCATTGCAAATGATATTTTAGATTGTACATACGGCACACGTAAGTTCATACCCGTCAATATATGGACCACAAGGCAGAGATCCACACCTAGCTTCAACATTGTATAACAGAGCTCCGTTATCGTTATCAACACTCCCTGGACGGACTTCAGCATAACGATCAACACAAATGAATTCGGAACGCTGGTGGTTAAAATTTTCTGCCATCAGATAACCGTAGTATTCCCTGGTCCATTCAATCGATGGACATTGGTTGCGAGCTGGGACCATCAGAACCCTGCTACGGGAATTCACCAAGCATACTGCACAGACAGAGTCGTGTTGGAATAGATGAGAAAATGGCGGATATAGGTCGCTTTGATATTCAGAACCCCACATCTTAGCACACGCATCACACTTACCACTGCTCGGTTGATCCCATATTGGATCTAGTGGCAAACACTGATAGTTAGAACCTCCCCCCGAGTTAGTGTAATATTCTCCACCAATAACACCTGCAAAATAAAGATATATTAATTTAACGAATGGCAAACTGTTTGCTGCGAGCCAAACATGGTACTCGCACTGTATAAGAACCAGGTAAATATTGTTGATAATATTCTGAACAGGCTCTAAACCATTTTAGACCAGCATTAGGTAACCATGTAGTTCTCAATATGCCGTATATTCGATGTAACACTTCGTTTATAGCAATATCAATTTGTATAAATTTTTACCTCGCTACAACAGAAAAACGACTAGATTACCGGCAATTTTACAATGTCCCGATTCAAATAGCGTGCAATGTACGCTGATTTACAGTGACTAGTTATACCTGGGCAAGCCAAATTTCTCTTACAGTAACCACCATTTGTCATGTTATATCGTACACCCAGTGTTACTGACATTTAACAAAGTCAAGCTTCCATTGTTTATAACTGCACTGTCATATCAGGTCGTACTGATTTCGTTCTTTTAAACACCCACTGATTTTGTGTGTACACTCACTGTGACAGTCGTCTTGTAGCCCCCCCCCCAAAAAAAAATTCTTTTGTACCTAGTTACATATCCAGTGATATTAGGGATGTAAGACGTTTTACTAATTCTAAGACGCATATGCAAAATTAGCCAATCGATTAATTCACCTTGGAGAAGAAAAGTATATATTCATTGACACTCACCTTGATACACCAGCTCAGCACTGGTAGGACAGGAACTACGACCCCATCGAACATACATAGTACCCGGTCCCTCTAGTATATTGATGTCTGCATTTGAAGTATTTCTATTAATGCTGCTGTTAGATGGCACCACGTGAGACTCGTCTAAATCTGATGTATGAGAGTATTATGATAGTATCTTTGTGGAACGTATATTGCTGTGCTATGACTGGATATTGTTTGTGTGCGGGTATATAAAAGTTACTTAACAAATGCACAGCGACAATTGATTACACTCACAACTAATGAAGATTATTTTGTTTTTACATCTGATATGCGCAGTTTAGTTACGTGTTTGTCTGCTGGTGACTATTTGTTTAACACCAAACTGTTGTAACACAAAACACTGGTCAAACATCTCGGAACATGGTAATTGTAAAATTATTTACGATAAAAATGTCTCATCATATCTCAAAACTCTGTTTTCTGTCAGAAAACGCGCATGTTTAAGGAGTGAATCAGCTGAATTAGCGCCCCTAACGGCGATCTGCGATCGGGATGTTTTGCTACTAATGAAAGCAATACATTATCGTTCCGTGTGCTCTTCAGGGGCGTCGATCATGAGGGGGAGGGACACGTCCCCCCACTATCTGAAGGGTGGGGGACACAATATCAACTGTCCCCTCCACTTTCCAGACTTACCCAAATATCAATAATAGGTTTATATCAAAGCCTGCGTTTGTATGAGGCCTTTGGTTCTGTGTACATGTACTGTATTCTTAATGATCAAGAATGAAAATCCCCAAGTATGTACCAAATGACTTCATTTTGGTTGCATTTTTCAAAAATTTCTACCTTCTGAGGGGGGCACATCCCTTCTCGGGGTTACACACCTATATTCCGACACCCCTATGTTCCGACATCCCTATATTCCGACACCCCTATGTTCCGACATTTCTATATTCCGACAACCCTATGTTGAGATGCTAATAGGTTCTGACACCTACGAAATTTTAGAAACGTTTTTGACATTTCACTGCGTTTTTATCTCTTTACTATAAGAAAATATACCATTATTCTTCTTCAAATATTATTCTACGCTCACCTTTTGTAACAGAATGTTACATTTCTTTACATTAAAAAATAACTATGCCGGATTATAATACTTGCCAGTCTTCTGGCCATGGGCTTTCATGGAGGTGTTTTTGTGATCATCGTCGGCAATATTCTCAGACGCGATGTATCCTATCAAGCTTCAGAGGAAAACTATTTATTTTTTTAATTATTGCCAAACGTTCAGATCAACAAAAAACTATGTACCTGACAGTCTTCATGTGGGCCCCTGACAACTTGTACTCTGGGGAGACCTAAATTACATTGTTTAGTACTTCTATGTTCGACGATCATCCAATAAATTCTGAGCCGGCCAGAATGTGCCATATTTTCAATGGAAATATGTACGCTAGTGGTCGGAAGCCAAAATTGGATACATACCTCTCCCCATGGTAGAACAAAGCAACATGTTTTTTCTCTGTTCAGCGCGATCAGTCTGGTTACAGAATACTGACTGTACAATTAAAATTAAGACAAGGCTGTCAAATTTACATGCCATAAAATAGACAGAAACATGGGAATTAATTTGGTCATTTTTGGCCGTAGAATCTGAGCCGTTTTTCCCCCGAAAATCAGAGTAACTATGTTAGCTTTAAAAAATTATAGACAGCGTCAAATAAAAAGGGAATTTTATGGGATCAACCTTATACAAAGATATAATTACGTAATAACCTGTCACATATTAAATAGGAATACCTCAGACAAACACCATCATGTTATATATCAAATTAAAGCTATATTGGTGTAGCGTACAAGTATTAGGTTGGATATTACATCGTATAATCCATTACTTATTGACATTATGAAATCATTAACTTCATTATACGTTATTCAAAATCATCAAATGGCATTTTCTGGGCAAATCCTATCTATGATAAAATGAATTAGTCATGACATATTCATGTATTTGAAAATAAGTCTTTTTATGCTTTCTAAATGTATATTTATTTATTTATTTATTTATTAGAACGCTATTACACTGCCAAGAAATTACATATAGATAAAAATGGAATTCAAATAGATGGCGAGACGTTACCTGACCTAAGATTTACATAAGTAAATTAAGCATATGTAGCAAAGAGGTTTGGGTAATTTAGACAAACGTAAAATACAAAATCGACGACTGCACAATGGAGCGAATAGGCAGTTTCAAATACATCTACAGAACACG